AAGAATAGGTCTCAAGTTTACTTGAAGTGCAGATTATCTAGCTGGAAAGAAGCACAAGACTAGTGGAATACTGAGGAAAAATCAAATTTATTTTGATACAGAACTATTCCAGGTATTTCCATGACAGCAGTGAGATGTCACCTGTAATATTTTTAGTTTTGTGTATCATTAGAAGTTTGTGAGAGTACATTATTTAATCTTAATTCCTTGCTTAAAGCTTAGAGTGGCTGATGTAAGGGACTAGTTCTTGGGAACTTGTTCCTGAAAAAGGAAGAAAGCACAATTTTTCTTGTCCTTTGTTGATTTTAATAGTAATTCTAATACTTTTCTTACAGTTGATGGTTATCTTAACCCCTACAAAGTCGTACATGAAGGCTTGTTTTCAAGTGGGAGACCAGACTATCACCATATCAGATTTTAATGCTTAAAATTACTATTTAAAAACCACAAAGTACTGTTTTGGAATATCTGCACCAGACGTAGTTTGAGGCAAGAATTTCAGGTAGATTAATACTTCTCTGTGTATTCTAAAGTAAATCTGGGCTGCATTTCAGTGTTTAAAAGGGTTCACTGAATCACTTTAGGATAGGCAAAATTGTGCAATAAATTCTAGGAACCTAAAATCAGACGGTAATATATGTTCACTTTCTGCATTTTCAGAAAGTGAACATTTGAAGGTCAGAAAATGTTAGCTCCTTTTAACTGTGATTAGTTTATCACTTCGATTTAGGCTGACTGAATTTTGTGGAGGGACAAAAAATTTGAACACAAATGGCATAGTCACAGTGAAGGAGGAATCAGTGAGAACATTTTCAACAAATATTAAGCCATATCTAGTTGTTCTTATGAGGTAGACTATCTCAATTTTCACTTAGTTTACTTCATGGTGAACTAGACTTTTGGTGAGGGGTAAGTATGGGGATTGATGGGAAAAAGGTTCTTATAGAATTTGCTTTTTATGAAGCATAGTTGTGAATATCCCAAGTTTCTGCTTTGGGAATGGCATTTATGATTGAAGAATAGTAATACCAGCTTTGTTAGGTGGATAGAAATATTGACATCTGGATGCTGTTGTCTTTAATTGGAAAAATTTTTATCACAGATTTTGCTTTTAACAAAATTTTTTAAGTTTCTCATTCTTCTGTTTGAGATGTTGCTATTGTAAATTAATTTTAGCAGCTGAATTATTATTTCTGTTACCTTTACATTAAAGTAGCAACAAAGTAATTAAAATGTGGTATGTGTTTACTCTAGTTATATTTATATTTAATAATACAGACGAGGTATAAAGATTTTGAAAAATATATAAGTATATCAGATGAAAGAGTTACAACTCCTTTTTTGCTTCTTTGCAGAGTTGCATGGAATGACTTAAAAGTTATACTGTAGAAAAATGATTAAAGTGCTGGTTCTATTCATTGGAGTGAAAATGTTGGAATTCTGTGCAGAATAACAATTCCCTAAGGTCAGAAGTATATGCTAAAAAATTATGAGTGCTCACTCACTGCATTTGTCTTATTTTTTTGCGTGTAAGGCAATATAATTTTTTAAAATTTTGATAGGTACAGCAGTGAAATAGTGTTATATTTATATATATTGAGGGTAAGATTGTCAACAGATATAAAGTAAGCTGTGTGTTGACTATTATTTTCATTCCTTATATTGAAATAATGTTTTTGTCATCAACTGTGGATTTGTCCAATTTTTTTTTTCTCAGTGTATTGTTTTGCACAGTGGAATCCATCATTGTCTTGTGAAACTGACTACTCATCAGGCAAGTGATGTTCTCACCTTTTTCTTAACACATGCTCACATATCAGGTAATAGTCTTTTCATACCTTGTCCTGGATGTATTACCAGCTGTATAAGGAGCAACAAATGGCTGTTATCTTACGCTTTTCTTCTGGATTTTGTAGTTTCATATGTAGTATTTTTCTCATTTTCCCTCCTTTCTGTAGAGCCATTCTGTCTGTCAATACCTCTTTTTTCTTTTACTTACTAAGAATTTCAGATTATTTTGTACTCTTTGTTGGAGCTAGTATGGTCCATCTGGTCTGACTGTCAGGATGAGCCTTTAGGAGATTCCAATTTCACTCTGCTGAGTCCAAGAAGCTGACACTCTGTCACAAATACAGTTAAAAATTCCTGCTTAACGAATCATTGCATTTCTTTGAACAGCACTGAATCCTGCTATTGAAAATAATTGATTCATAAAATTTAAAAAGCCACGAAAATTGAAAAAAAGTTATTAGTGTGCAAATTACATCCAAGAGTGACTTACATCATTCATTTTCCATAATCTCCTGGGGAGAGTTGTTTAGTTGAAAATATGGTGACTTGAAGCATTGTTATATGTATTATAAATTTACCTTTAGCTTTAGTTTGAAAGGTATTTAATTTTCTTGGTATTGCCCAGAGCCTCCCAGTGAGTTAGCTTGTTATGGTACCAGAGCAATAATGCTGTCTGCATTGCAGTATGTGGGAGTGAGTGTCAAAGGTCAGCCACGGATTCAGCATTTCTTCTGGCAAGCTTGGCACGCTTACATCCCTCTAACATTTCTTTGGAACAGTCTTGAATTTGAGTTTGGTGGATCAATAAACTGAGCTGTGAAAAATGTGAAGTGCATATTTTGATCTTGCTTTTTGTTTTCTCTGACCATCTCTTAGGCAACTATTTTCCATTTCAGACAGTTTGGAATAAACATACTTCTATTTTTTCATAGTATAACTTAAAAGAATACAAATTGCTAAAATCCATTATCTAACCTGGGTTTTTTTCCAATATTTTGTGTTGAAGAAGAGTGTAATATACGTGTGGGGTATTTTTGCTTTTTTACTAGTCCTTTTTTGTAGGTTGATAATTTAGTTGGAAACTACAATTTACTGGGAACTTCTAATATGCTAATTCTACCATCCGGAAGGTGCCTGCCTGGTGATAAAGGTGATAAAGTATTTTGGTAAATTACCTCAGTTTGTGGTCCTGAGATTTAACTACCTTAGTTTTCAGCCAGTATTATTTTCTGAATTATGTAAATTATAAATAAATAATATGGGGTATTTTAGTGTAGTAAATTAGAGTTATACATTTGCATGCAAATAAGTAGATTTTTTTCCTCTGTTGCATGTTGCCAGTCCACTGAAATGACAGTGTTTCAGACTACAAGCTTATGAACCTCACTTCCACTGATAGTTTCTTATTTAAAATTAATCTCACAGGTTATCCAATTTGTTTTCACATTTTTACAGATAGTATTGGTTACCACTGTTATAATAGGATCCCAAAAAACATGTATAATTTTAAAAGCCAGGTCACATAATTTGAAATTGGGTTGTTTTCAATCTTATTTGCTTTTTAGCTGTAATTTCATTACTTAAATGGGGTCCAGTCTGTAATTTGCAATGACATCAACTGTTTAGTTGCTGCATTTCCTTAGTAGAAAAAGTGAAAATGGATTTGCTAACCTCTAAAAATATACCTGATACTTATCACTGAGGTATTCCACTTTATATTTCCAGCTTGCTTTTATAAAGGGATTAGAAGACTTGCATGTAAAATTGCTTGCATTTACCAAGGAAGACCAAATTGTAGAAGAGCAATGTTTTCTAATTAAAGCTTTTCAAAAATCTAGGGGTATTTAACTGGCTATATTGTTAGTTGCTCTACTGATGTATACAGAATCAGTATAATTATATAGCAGTAGAAGAAACTAAGTGAAATTAATGGTGGTTTTAAAATCTGAACTTCTGTGTTGGGCAAAGTCTATGTAGGCTTTGTTAGGATTGTGCTGTGCAGGCACCCTATGAAGATTTCTGGGTCTGAAAACAGGAAGAGAAACGGTCTAGAAAATGGGTTTTGTCATCTATTTTTGTGGGCTGCCTTTTTAAACAAAATATTGCAAACCATTTCTTCCATTCCAGTACATCTGTTTATGATAAAGTTATGCTAAAAGACCCTTACTTAACATATAGGCTGTTAATGTTTTAGGCTGGCACTTTAATTAAAACACTGAGATTATTCTTTGAAAAAACCCAACAAACAAATCTACAGACTGTATATGAAGGTTGTCTGCTTCTTTTTACTGTTTAATCTCTATTACTGTTGTTATTTTTGGTCCATCTCCAAGGCACATTGAAGCATTGTATCCCTCTGAACTTAATTAGGTTAATGTTTCATGTTTGTAGGACAGCTTCTTAGATTTTTTAATAGCTTTAGTGCTAGGTTTCAGTATCTTGTTCTGGTTCCTGACACCTCTCATTAGTGACCTCTGCAATCAAATTCCTGTGCTGTATATTAACTCAATAGTTAACATTCAATAGTGTGACACAGCATCATTTATTTATGCAGCTACAAGCCTAACAGCGTTTAAAGAAAACGTAATTCTGAAATCCTCTTGTTCTCACAGAACAGTTCATTTATGTCATGTAGCTTTAAATTCCCATCACAGGAATTGCTGTTCTGAAACTTCACCCCTTCATAAGGTGGAAGCAAACATTTGCTGGAACTAAGTATTGTGTACATAAGAGTAGTCTAAGCTTGTCTCTAAGTCTTGTGACCTTTTCGATTTTGCTCTGGGTGTTTTTATAGTAGCTACCACATTTGCCTTTTTGGATTGTGATATTTTTTCTGTTTGGACAAAATCCTTGCCGAGGACTAATGTAAAAAAATCTTAAGAATCATTTGGGATTAATTATGTAAAATTAGTTGTAGTGAATAGTATTTTGACCCTAGCCCTCTTTATCATATCTCATTCCTTTATATTCTTCAAACATTTTTTAATCTCCCTCCTTGTGGTTGACATTGTACTAAAAAAGGAGTAAGAGTTAGAGCAAATTGTGTGCAAAGTAATAGATTTAGCTGTTACATTCTGCCTTAGTCGTTTTCAACACCAAAGCTAGCAAAGTTGCAAATTAAAGGAAGAAAATCAGGTATGCCAAATCTGATATCAACCTGCAGATGAGGCTTAGTAGCCTTCTGTATTATCTTTCTTTTTTCACACAAGAGTAAGTGGATCACCACAAGCCAACATAGGTGTGCTTTTGTAAATACTCTATTACCCTGTATTTACAGTTATTCATCATATTAAAGAATTGGAATTAAAGGAGGAAAAATGCTTCCAACTGGGACATTCATGGTACATTTTTTTATTCTTATAGGATCAGATATGTAGTTAATTAGGTTTACTATGTTGATTTTTATAAAAAATTTAATTTCATATGATATGTACTCCTCGAAATAGTGCCTGAGAATTTAATTTACTAGTCATTATGTTTTTCATCTACTTAACACTTTTGGCAAATGAAAATATTTTATTGCAATCAGTATAGCACAATATCATAATGTAATACCCATATATCATCAAGATTAATAGATTCATGCATAATGAGTCAGAGTCAAGCTGATTCAGTGATATCATCTGTAAAATAATTTTTGTTACTAATCTTGAATAGAGCATCAAATGGAGCTGAGTGCCATTTTCTCTCCTTTGTACTAAGCAATGTTTTTTTGTGAACACTACTTAAGAATTCCTTGATTGAAAGGTTTCATTATTATAGAAAGACAAAATTGAAAATGTTGTGATTCTTTAGCAGCACATTATTTTTTCCTAGTCTGTATGGATTTAGAAATTAAGAGAAACAGGAATAAAGAGAACTTTAAAAAATGGGTAGGTAGAGGAAGAAACAATCCAATATATAAAGTGTTGTGAAATCTTCCCATTAACCTCTCTGAGAACATGATTAGTGTAATTTAAATAATTCACTTTTACTGGAAAAGTGTTTTCCAAATGTTAATAAATTTTGCATATGTCTACACTGCAGCAAGAAGTTCTGATAGCTGCCCGCACAGACAAGTTATATTTAAATAATTTATCTCCAATACTGGCAGTAATGTCATCATAGCAGCACATCAGGAAAGTTGTCTCAGATTAGTATTCCACAAATGCTGTTAAATACTCTGCAGGGAAATTTCTGCAACTGCAGTAGAGATGCTACAAGAATCTAAGGTGCATGAACTACATCTAGATTTACGGTATAGACATTAATTTAACTGGGAAATTTATATTGCCTCATTCACCTTTATTTAAAATAGTGTAAGAACACTGAAATTATTTCAATGTCATAATTTTTTATCAGTATACATGAACTGGATAATCATTAACAGGTCCAGATGTTTATTCATTTTATTGTTAGCTTAAATTGTTTCTGCTAGTCTTGTGAATATTTCCCACATCTCTTCTAAGTTGTTGTTACTTAATATACAGAGATTTAAAAAATATTCTGAAGTCTTTGGATAGTGACCGTATTATAACTACAAGTTAAAAGGAGTAGAGGTAGGGTTGCTAGAGTAAGAATATTTCATTAATGCACTTAAAAATAAGAATTAGGCATATAGAATGAAATAACTATACTACAAATATTGAGGGTTTGATTTTAATTGTTTACATATGAATTTATTTATATATTTGATAATACATTCTTTCTAGCCATATGTCCAGTAGACATGTAATACAATACAATACAAGTATATTTCAAAGGCAGAAACTCAGAAAAAAAACCAAAGTAAGCCTGAATCTGTCACTTTAAATTTTTCATGATGCAGAGCATCTTATGTTGTAGTTTTAGTTGCACTCTCCTCTTCAAACTCCTCTCTTAATCTTTGTATCTCATGCACTGAGCTTGTTGTCCTGGCTGTTTTGCTCAAGAAATCCTGAATTTCCCTGATTATTTTTACTTCATGTCAGATGTACCTATTGAGTTATTTTGAGTCTGACTACTTATTTAATTCTTGTTTGTCAAACTGCTGTTTCTGTAACTGATTTGATACCTCTTCAGGCCCCAGTTTTCCTGTCCAATGTCTTGCTGTTTTCCATTACTGCAGAGGTTTTATTTTTCCTATTCCCTATATTTTGCATTGAGCTATGAAGGCTTGGATGGTATTTCTCGTGGTCTGTTTTTGGCATAGGACTTTTGTCTGCTGTATCTTCAGGGCAAAGGGATTTTTTTTTTTGTGGCGTTCTTCCAAGAGTTCTTTCAAATTTATGTGTGCTCAAGTCATGGATGTGTGTGTGATGTAACCCTGTGACCACAGGTTTTGTTCCATCTTAGCTGCATGAAGGACTGTATGTGCCCTTTAAGTCTCATATGTGGGCATAAGTGGGTGGTAATTTTCTTTCCTCCCTTGGTTTTCAGCTCCAACAGGCTAATGAGCATTTTAAGTGCTCATTGCAATGATTTGTTACCAACTTTGCTTGTGTTCTTGACTTCTTGCGTTACTTCTTTTCCATTCTTGCTTGCAGATTGATTTTGTTCCCTGCTCCGTGTCTTATGTAAATGATGTGAGTATCCTTTGAAATCTGTGTGTATCATCTGTCAAGCTGAAAGTCATATACATTTAAATGATACATTAAGTACTATTAAGTCATCCTATTTGCAAGAAGATAATTTACATGTCTGTATTTATATCCATGCTATATTTTAACCCTTCTTGGATTGAACTAACTAAACTGGTTATGTTGGGTGTTGGAAACTATAATTTTTTTTTCATTGAGTTTCTTTTGTAAAAGAAATAACTACATTGCTGTTAAAGGATTTTGTAATACACAAGACAAAGAATTGTTTCATATAGTTTGTATCTTTAGTTAGAATATGCATTTTTAAATTAAGCTTTAAATATTAAAGAGACTGTGTGCATTTTTTTAAACCATTGTGCAACCTTTTAAGTACTACTAGCCTGAGGCAATCCCATCTGCAGTAAATTGTGTGATAAAATTTTTGATGATAGCAGTAAGGCCAAAATTTCACTCAGATTTTGAGTAGTTCTCCTTCTTTTAAATGTTTGAAAGTTTTAATTGAAAAAATTTAGGGAATTATTGACTCTGGAATCAAAGAGAAGTGTCTTAGACCCTTGCTTATATAACTCTCATTTTTTGTAGATCAGGACAATGGATGATGACCTCAAAGACTCTTTTACCAAAAGAAAAATCCCAAAGAAAACCCCCCATTTTTGGTAACCAAATATCACAGAACGGAATGATTGTTTGGTGTATCACCAGTAAAACAGTGCTGTTGGGATATTATAATGAATATTCTTAGAACTCCAAAGACTTTAATGAATTAATTGAAGCTTGTGTAGAAAAATTAAATTAAATAATTATTCTTGACAAAATTGAGATAATTAGGAACTTATACTGTTATTTGGAGATTAGTTACCCAAGCAAAGACACAAAGATGAAAATTTTATGCCATCTATATTAACACATTTTTGTCGTGATTTGCATTGGAAATAAACAGGAGGAAAATCCTATTGAACGTGAAAGTTGTGCTTGTAACCAGTTGTGCTTGCCTTGATAGAATTGAAGAGTCAGCTTTATCCTGAGAAAGGAGCTGGAATTCAGAGTGTGTGTTTAAGCTTTCATAAGGAACAATTATAATCTATTTTTAAAGACAGAAATGTAACCAATTGTGCTTACTGTGAACAGGCTAGCTTTGTGTTGAGAAGGAAGCTCAACTAAAGAGCATATGATTAAGTTTTCATTAAAAAAATATTTCTATGCATTTTTAAAGATGGCAAAGACGTTAACTTTGAAGCAGGAAACAGAAGCTTTGCAATTGGAAGTTACTGAGCTAATTAAGCTGCTGAAGGCTGATCGTGAGGGAGAAAAACCTTTGGAGTTGGAGAAGTAGTGAAGGAACAAGCTTGCCCTGAAAATTTATTGTATGTCACTTTGGAGGCTTCACCAGCTCCTCGCAGCCGTGCAAAAATGTACTGATATTGAAACTAAGAATATTTGTAATTTTTCAGTTGGCTCATTACCAAGAATAAAAATCCAGATATGATTACAGTAGTATTTACTTTAAAAGGATTACAATGTTTACTTTCTGAACTTGGTACACTTGAATACATATCTGGGGAAAAAATAGGAAGTACTGTGAAATGTTCAGCATTTTCTGAGAAATAGCATAAGAGTAGACAAGCCACTTAAGATAATAATATATATTTAGTTTGGGACAAGAAATGAGAAGCTGAAACATAATTATAGAATAGTACATTTGAGTTAAATTACGGATTAAAGAAAAAAAAAATAAATTATTTGCTTTGAGAAAAAATTAAAATGAGATAAATTTGAACAACATTCTCATATATTTAAAACAAATTATTTGACATAACCATTGATATACATCCTTAAAATCCCAGATTTTTTTCATTGCCTTTTGTAGGTATCTACACAAAACAATTCAAGAAAAAAAGAAAAACAAAAAAAGGAGCTATAGTTTGTTGTTTGTGTTCTGGCTCACAGGCAGAAGCAGGTACTGTCTGAACGTAGGCTTAAGGAAAGTAGCATAATTTGTCACAGTAAGTTGCTAGATGTAAAATCAAGGTTGCACTCGTGTGCATATTCTGGTGCACATCACCCAGAGGTCTTGGACAAACATGTCACAGTCCAGAGCGGGGTGGCAGTGCAAGAGTCCTCTGTGACTGTGTTTGGTGATGGGAAAGCACTACACGAAGATCAGTGTGCAATGGAGGTGAGCCAGGTGTTTAGACCCAAATGCTTTCTACCCTCATCCCTGAAGGCAAAGTGTCAAATAGCACACAAGCCTAACAGCACAGCAGAAAAATGTTTGTTTGTTTGCTTTAGTCAATGGCTAACTCTTGACTTGGAAATCAGAAACCTGTGTTAAAGTGCTCCCAGTCTGCAGAGATTGCTCATCTAAAATGCAATTGCCTCTTAGGGACCGTTTATGATGCCCTGAAAACAGGAAGAGATTGAATAAAGACGCAGAACTAAAAATTGTTGACACGTTAGAGAATGCTTTAAGGAGCAAATCTGTGGCACTGAAAGGTCACTTTCACAGAAGTAAAGAACTGCAAGTAGAGTAGCTCAAGATTTGAGCTGCAGACATGTTACCTTTTACTTTTTTATGTTCTTACATACAATGATGTAGCTGTAAATTATCTTTGTGTATTGCTATACATTTCTGTTTCCTTTTCTTTCCATGTTTAGCATTTTCTTTAAATAACAAAAGTTTAGAATTGTAGAATAATTAGCACATTTTCTGTTCTGTTAATGTAAGCAATGATGCAACATTTTTTTAAAGGTGAAATAAAACTGTATTAAGTTTAGCAGTGAAAATTGACCAGTTTCTTCTTCCTTATCAGTGGGCTATGTCGGTGTGATGACATGTCCTTGGAGTAAATTCTGTAATTTTCAGGATTATAATTTTTCGTAATATTATCTTTAAGACAAAAAAATATGCTAACATGGAATTGAGGATAAAGACCCTCAGGAATATTATAATTATCTCTAACCTAAGTATTACAAACCCATGAAATTAATTAAGAGTTTGCATGACCCATTCAGCGTAGATACTGAATCCTGTTGTTTCTTCAGGCTTACCTTGACTTCCATTATTCCTAATTCCTGCTGCATCTATGTCCTGTAGCACACTCAGGTAATTACATTAATGTAACCAATCTTCACAAATTACTTTCTCTGAAATAAACAAAAATCCAATATAAACCACATTTTATTCATTTTAATGTTAGACACCTCTTTGTACAATGTAGAAAAGACGCTTGTTCTTGCAATATCTCTAACTTTTAAAAGCAATGAAATAATAGTTTTGCAAATTTTGGATTTATGTCTTGTTAACACAGGAAGATTTATTGACTTAAGGGAATTGAATATTTCACAGATATTTCTCAGAGGTAGAGTGTTTTTTACATCAGTATAATGTGCTTCTCTGTCAAATTTATGGCAAAGTTTACTGTTCTTGAGATATTATCTGATTTTTTTTTCTCATCTGATATTCTTACTTTACTTTCTGTAGTTTTATACCAATAAATTTCCCATCAGCTGCTGCAGAACACTGCATGTAATAAGCTTTCTTTTTCCTAGGCATAATAAGATAAAATACATGCTGCTATTCAACAACCAGTGGTCTAGTCACCTATTTTCTTGTAACGACCCATAGGAAATTTATGCCAAAGTCAGAAAAGAAAATGCAGCAAACTGAATTAAGACTGACTGTGTGGCAGTCACAAGATAATATTTCTGTGTGGCAACAAGAATATATTTTGTGTGACAATGAGAATATAGGGGGTTTTGTGGGTTTTGAGTTTGTAACTTTAGTTTAACTTTCCTGAAACCATGTTTAGTTCGGGAAGGGCCCCTGAACTGAGAATAGTTTTTGTATCAAGAGGATGTGGGATCTGTATTTGCCCTGTTCTTTCTCTGCACCAACATATGTCATACATCAACATAGCTGGAGGCTAGGAAGCTCGGTGGAGCTGTTCTTGTGTCATAATAGCCTCCTCTACATATGCCTTAAGGAGAGGTGTTTTCATTTCCTTCATAAAAACAAAACCACCCCAGCTTTGAACAGTTGCTTGACTTACGTACTAGAATAACTAAATACGAGTTTGTAAACCAGATCCCCTCCTAATGCAATATCTGCTCATCTTTTTTCATCAATGTCCTTCCTCGGCTTTCAAAGGAGCTTATAACAAAATTTTTCAAATCTTAACATTATGACAAGATATTTCCTAATCTCGCTAGTTATTCATGGTGTCATTCGGATACTCATATTTTGGTATGTTAATTATCTTTTTAACAGAAAATTAAATGTGTGTTTAAGATACCTTGGAGCTACGATGGCATTTTGATTGTAAAAGCTGTCAGCTGCTGCAGGTACAGAGCCAACTCTGTAAGGAAGAGCCGGGAGGGAGATTCGGGAGGGAATAGACTTCGTGAAGAAACACAGCCCTCTGCTGGAAGAAAAGCTGAATCCAAGGACAGAGCTGTGGAGGATGGACGGAAAGGATGCGTACACAAAGGTTTCTTTTAGTTTCTGTCCACTATGCAGGTGCCCTTTTAGACAGCAGCAGTCTGCTGGAAGCACCAAAGCCCACTTTACATTTTATATCACTGCACACAGGCACCCAGTGCTGACAGAGCCGGGGGAGGATAATGCTGTTATCCCTTAAGAAATGTCTCTGAAGCTCACATGGAATGTAATTCTAACTTTGCGAGATTTGATTTCATGCGGGATTTTTCCTAGGAAAGGTAGAAGCCACATATCCAATATTTGCATTGATTCTCTTCACTTTTTTCACAGACATCTGTGTTTCAGAATATGGAGACGTCAGAAGCTATCAAAAAAAGTTTACAAGAGTCAATTATTCTTTAGTGCTGATGTATATTTTTCCTAATGTATTTACTTATGGTATTTATTGATTTTAATATTGATTTTAATGATTTTAATGACAAATTTTTTAATTATAAATGCCTAATGTGGAGGATACCAGTCTAAATAATAAAAGTAGAACAAAGTTGCAGGTAGCTTAAAATTGATTTCTGAAACTGGAGTGATACTGTGTTACTTCAAGTTCAGATATTAGAAATAATTGTTATGTTTTCCTTATATTTCCTAGAATAACTTTTAAGTACAAATCTAGAGTACAATCTCTTTTTTAAGGTACTTACAGTCTAAAATGGTCTTTTTTTGGTAAGTGATTCATAATGGGTTTTTTTTCTTTTTATTTGTTTTATTTATTTATTCAATTTCGAGGAGTTCTGCAGTCATGTCAAAATACTTCTAAAGAGGAAAAGTTAATTGCCTATTACAAAAATAATAGAAGAACTATCATGAATTAGCTCTGAGTTATGAAACACATCATCATTCCATCAGTGCTATGTCTTTGAAATACTAATTAAAAATCAAGTTGGTAATTTTTTTTTAAATTGTATGTCTTTTTTCATGTTAATGTCCTAAAATATATTATATACAGCTAAAATATTGAGATGTAATAAAATACAACTCATGAAGTAGACTTAAAATATTTTTAAAGGCTATTTTAAAACCCTTTTTTTTTCCAGAGGGTTTTTTTTTTCTTTCTTTCCAAAATTTTGCACTGCATATCACAAGAAGACTGACTTAATGTAACTATATCTATATGTCTTTATATATTTGTATTTATCTTATTTATATATTTCATTGCAATAGAATTTTTAAATGTGAAGTAAATTACCTGTGACTTTTATTGTGCTCTCTGATTTAACTGTTTGTTACTCAGGTTTGGAGTTTCTTGCCATGATCTTAAAAAAGCAGCTGATACTTAGTTCCTTTGGCAATTAAAACAATGATTTAATTTTGAATCTCTAGTTTTTAATATCTAGAGAACTAGTTTAACCAGTAAAGTTAAACTAGATTCTAATAAAGATTTTTTTATCATGTTATTTGTTTATATTTGTAATATTTTAAAAAGCAGAGACAGCAGACATGCATATTTCTATTTGAGAGTTGTTACAGAGTGCCCCAGAATCATCTATCCCATTAAAAAATATGGTCATTGCATTGTCTGCAAAGGCTGCACAGCCACTAGGAGATGTTTCAGCAAGGAATTTGTCAGGTTACTAAGTGAAACCTCAGTGGCTTCTTTGCACATTATTTCTTTGTTTCTGCTCCAGAGGTCACTATCTTCCCATGAAAGTAGCCACCTTTTCAAAATAACTCCAAAATTCTGTAACAGAATGAAAGCCCTCTTGCTAACATTTCTTTAAATTAGGCAATTTTACAACACATTCTGTTGTCTTTCCTGGAACTTCAACTTTAAACATAAATTTTTAAACTGACAAGGATCAGACAATCTTGGAATTGTTTTGTATTTCAAACATTATGTATGCTTTTTATATAAAACCTTTCAGAAAACTTGTTTACTGACAAAAATATGCAGTGATGTTTACTGTGAACTCATAAAAACACAAAAAACAATGAAAAGAAATTATGAAGAATCTGAAAAAGAGATGCATGTGTGTATGAGAAAATTAAATATGCTGAGATGCTATTGAGTCAGTGCAAGTAAGAGCTATCCACTAGCCATTATAATTTCCTGTTGGTTTTATAATAGTGGCAATAAAACTATAGAAAATTTGCTTTTAAAAATTATTTTAAATTCTCTTGGGTTTTGTCCTTCAATTTAAATAATAGAATAATACATAAGCTTTTGCCTCTTTTGTCTTAGCTTGCATTAGCAGAATAAGGAAGATATGATGTCCAGAATTATACCCAAATATAAAGCTCCATGAATCAACTCCTAAACCATACCATTTTTGCCTCAGATTTCTTGCTTCTGAATTTTCAATCCCTTTGACAGGACATTCTGCTATCATTCTTATTCACTGCACAAATTACTGGAATTTATCAAAATACCTTTTCTATCTTTTTTCTTTTTTTTTTAGCAAACCAACAAAATTACTTCATTGGATTGCAAGGTAGCTTCTATATGGCAGTGACTTATGTTGGAGTTTCCTTGCTGTAACCTTTTGACAAGTCATTAACCCCTGGATTATTAAGCAGAGCTAATACAATTAGACACCACTAATGGCCAGTCACTGAAAAATGCAAACAGTCACTTCCTTTCTATCTCTGAATATACAGACAAAGAGTCAGCACTAAGGATAACTGTGGCAAAGAACAAGAATATCAAGTATTTGATGTTTGTTAGGAGGTTACACTCGACTTTGCTGCATATGCCCATGGCTCATTGCCAGCTTTTATCTGGCAAAGTAGCAAGTGACACAGGGGCCTTTTCTTTTTCACTTGAGATGAAGAAGGCTCATAGGAAAAATTGAAAGGCAGCAATAAATTTTTGAAATATCTTGAGTGGCCAGAGCAGACATTTCTGTACTGCAGCCATGTGACAGCAGCTGTTCTTCAAACATCAGGTATTTAAAAAACTGTGCATGGTAATTACGGAGTATATAAATTTCATAGTAAGCCATGAAATTTGGTCCATCTTATTCATTCAGGACTACCTGAGTTCACTAGGAATTTATATATGCCAGTTTCATAATTTAAGATGTGCTCTGCACTACCTGAGCTGGGTCAGCATGCACTGTTCTGATATTCCAGAGAGTTGATGTTTAAAAGTGCCTCACTTACAGCAGGGGTTGAAAATCTGTCCTGCTCATTGATGCTTCATTCAAGGCAGTAAGACTAATGCTAATGGTTTAGTTGTATGTGCAAACTGGTGTCCTTGGTAACTTCATTTCAGTAAATGTCAATTTCCCATCCAACACAAGTATTGGGACTGTCTCATCTCCCATTCTCCGTTTCTTCTAAAGGATCATTTTCATTTGAAGTCACTATAGAGTTGGCCTCATTAGTTTACCTAAGAGCTGTAAAGAAGCATTTACAGAGCTGAATAAATGTTTCCTGTTACCAAATTTCTTATTTTTCAAAGAAACAAGAACTTTAAAGTGCTTCTGTTATCTACAGATCAATTTATCAACTCAGGTTACCCACATCTCTTCAAAATGAAGACACTGAAGTTCTCTTATTGCAGGATCTCTGTTTCTGTACACGGATCCATTCAGCTCACAGGAAGTACTGTGAATGCAACATACTGATGTTTTGTAGAGGAGATTATTTGTAGAGGAGAATTCTGTTTATTGGACTAACAGTGGAATTTCATTAAGTTCCTGGCAGCAGCATTAGATTCCTCAAAGAGATGGGCTGTCTGTCTGCAGGACAGCTGGGTGACTCCACAATATTGTGACAGTCTTTCTCTGTGCATTTAAATATGACTGTGATCTACAAGAGCACTCTTGCCACCAGCACAGGTGTAATACCTGTAAGAGCTGTTATCCACTTCTGCTCAGTGAACGCCTATTTGCCAAAGGTCATTCTCATCTGTATTTACCTAAGAATCTTATGCCACAGGCCAAGCCATCTCTGCCAAGAAATCATTGAACTCCAGAGGATGGTACTAGCAGAAATAAACTTTGTCATTTTCATTGTTTGCAAGCCAGCAGCACATGGTTAGGCTTTCTAAAAAGACAAAAAGTAAGCATTGTGAATAACTGATTGTTGTGGTTTAACCTCAGTAGGCACCTGAGTCCCACACAGCATCTCACTCCCTTCCCCTGAGCCAGGATGGTGTGGAGAATCAGAAGGGTAAAAATGAAAAAAGCCATTGGTGGAAATAAAGACAGTTTAAGAGAAAAAGAAGAAGCCATTTACACAAGGAATACAAAGCAAGAAATTAATTTGCCACTTCCTTGGCAAGCAGGTGTTCAGCCACCTCCATAAAAGCTGGGCTCCATCACATCTGACTGTTGCTTGAGAAGAAAAACACCATCACTGACAAACAAACTTCCTCCCTGCAACTTGATATGCTGAGCGTGATGCCATACGGTGTGGGATTTCCCTTTGGTCACTTGGGCTCAGCTGTCCTGGCTGTGTCCCCCCCAAGTCCTTGTGCACCCCCAGCCTGCTCACTGGTAGGGTGAGGTGCAGGAAAGGGCTTGGCTCTGTGTAAGCCCTGCTAACATCCCTGTGTGGAAACAACACCATTTCCAACACAAAACCACAACATAACCTCATACCTGATACGATGAAGAAAATTAACTGGATCCCAGCCCAAACCAGTATACTTCTGCATTTCCCATTGTAATGCCTGCATTCTGCCAGTGAAAAATCTTTTGTAGGCTTGTCTACCGTGAAATCCCAAACAAAATCTTCAAGTAACTGACAGTAGAGGGTAGCATGAGTGACATTTTCATTTGATGTACCAAATAGGAAGAATTGTTATTCTGTTTAAACTGTATGTCAACTTCTTTAGTGATATAGATATGTTTGAATAAAACAAGACACACAGTAGAATTTGGGAGTAAGGTATCCTGGTCATCTCTGTGAAAGGATCCACTCTCAGAGATGCATAAAGAAGAGGTCATTGTAGCTGTAGACATTTTCTCTTGTTTTAAATTTTAAGTTCTTTCTTTAAGAATAATTGGAATTAATAACTGTGATTGTTTTGGTTACTGTTTATGGTACTCTATATGCCATAAGAGCTGTACCTGATTAAAAAAAAAAAAAAGAGTTAGTGTGTAATTTTCAGTTTGTTTAGATGACAAATATCAGCAACTTTATTTCAAACATTGTTTAGTACTCAAAAAGTGAGTTAGTTGTGTAATTTTCAGTTTGTTTAGATGACAAATATCAGCAACTTTATTTCAAACATTGTTTAGTACTCAGGAACTTGAAACACCTTTTAGTCCCACAGGAGCACTTGCTGCCTGCCTCAGAATCTTACAAGTTACTTAGCCTTGAAGCAGAAAGTAACCCTGACTTCTGTGAAACAGGACACTCTTACAGCATATTTTGACCTAGGTATTATCAACATCAGTAACTCATTTCTCTGGCTAATATAACTGGTGCTTTTGGTGCCTGCTGTCCAGGGAGATCTGTGCTTGCAAGTCAGAGCAGAAACCTCACTGCCACATTCTTGAACAAGGGAAGGTTGCTAAGATGCAATAATCCCATTTCCTTAAGAGATCACATCACCACGGATCTCTTTGTCATTGGCACTAAACAGCAGAACTAAAGAAGGATCACAGCTCTCTACTCCTATTTGGATCTTAACCTCTACAGTGAATTTCTAAGTATTGGTTTTATTGAGTCAGGATGATTTTGACATTATATTACAGATATTTTTGCTAATTCTATTTTATTACCTCTAAGGCACATCCACAGTCAACACATTTGTTTTTAGTTAACTAAGATTTAACTTAATTTCAGAACCTAGTTTACCCTCTGAAAAGAATATTAGTATATGAAAAATTAAAGTTGGGGTCAGATATATAGCTAAAGTGGAAGTATTTCATTACACAAAACCTGAGATCATAATTTTGTACTAACACCTGACAAAGCTGGAATGACTTCTGAAAATTGCCATGTAATTCTTCAATTAACATAGCTATGTATGTCTAAGCAAAAGAAGAGGTGTGTGAGTATGAAATAATACTTTTTTGTAATGTATATGAGCCTGGGAATGCAAGCTTCACAATGTCTTCATAATGTTTGGAATTTCAATTATTGTTTAAATATGTATATGGAGATGATCTGATCAAATACTCATTAGCTCCTATGTGGGTTCCAGCTGAGAGAAATCAGAAAGCATGGACCTTGATTCTGCAGCTTGTTAAGTTCATTGCAAACCTCATGTTGATTTTAATCATGGTAAAGATCAGGTACTGGGTAAGATGTATTACCAAAATGTCATGTGATTTATTACTATGCATTCAGATACTCTGATTATAGTAATTGTTGTTGGAGGTGATTTTATCATGTAACACCAGAAAAAAAAATTTTAAAGTATATTTTCTTTCTTATTTTCTTCCTTTTTTTTTTTACTATGCCATCATATACTTATTATTAAACTTCAGTCCTTATTGATTCATATTTACAGAGTGTGATCAGCAGCTATTCAGTTTTTTCCTGTTGTAGGCAAATTGTTGTAGTTTAGGAGTTGAAGTCTTAAGGTGTATGTAATTATAAATATTTCTGTGTATTGTCAACTTTCTTCACTAGGCTATATTTTCTGTGACTTTGGACTTCTTTGTTCATTCTTCCTTTCTTTATTCTAAAGAAATTTTTATTATTTTCAATGTGCTTTAAGAAGAATTCTGTATTTTAGAACCTTTCTAAGATGCTTTCTGATTTATTTTAATTTCTGTGATATAGTTTTCTGAAATGGGTTGAAAGACTTTCAATACAAAGAGTATTCTTATTCTAATGTTTTCCATCCCATTTCTTGCTTAATTTAACATTCTTAGCTTCTTTAACTGTACTAAATATTGAGTAGATTTTCTGAGTGTTTGTGGAAATAAGTACGTTTCTCTCAAATATAAACAGTTAATTTAGATTTTTAAGATGTGCTTAATTTCTCTGATCTTCTACTTCGAGTTTGGACATGAAATGGTACGTGCTGTTTATTTCCCAGTCACTTAGTTTGTCCTGAAGTTTTTCTGAAACTTTTCGTTTTGACTTTTCCTATTGTAATCATATTATATGCAGACTTAACTTCACTACTCCTTCCTTTATAATTTGTAAATATATCAAAACAACAGATATGGGATTTTGAGATACCATCCCCCAACCTATTTTTTCAATGAAAATTGATAATCTGATTTTACTTCTTCATTTTTTTATTGATATTAGATTTTTTTTCATCTTGTCTGGTGAGCACTCTTTAAAGGTTTTTTGTGCAACATTTTTTTCACTTCCCTCTAAATTCTGTCATTGTGTTACAGCTGTTAGCTTGCTTAGTAGTTGTAGGGCAGTGTGGACAGTTTCTCTAGGGTTTTGGTAGTCTTTGTAGAAATTGGGGTGCTTGAGATTGTTTCATGTGCAAGAAAGGAAGTGTGGTGTTTTCCTGTAGCTAACCTTTGTTCTGAGGTGTTTTAAAGTTTCTTTGTTCTTTTGTTCTTTTGAAATAAGTCATTATATAAATAAAATCCTCATGATAATGGCAATACGTAAATATACCAAAATTAATCATCTATACTGACAGAAATATGCCATGTATGTTTTCTGTTTCACCTAGCTATATCATTTCCTTTTCATATCACATTACAGTGATGTAGGCTCTGGTGCACTCTGTAACCTGTTTTGCATGACTGTGATTTAAAATGGAAATCCTAATGATACAAGTGTTTTTAGGAATGTCAGCACTGTCAGGAAAAAGTCAAGAAGAAAACTCTTTTTTTCTATCACTCAGTGAGGCATTTATTTTTATTTTCTTGGGGGTTTGATTTTTTGGCGGTTTTTTTTACTGTGTATTTTAATTTTTTGCAGCTATTTGCTAAACTGGTGATTAAAGTCGTGCTTACATTACAGAGGAAGCAGATCCCTTCAGCTGCCATCTGAGGAGGACTAGAATAACAGCATTGATAGGCATGAGAGAGACAGATTTGTGGTGGCACGGACTTGAAAGACTGCTCTGCAGTTCATACTCTTTTCTTTATGTTCAGTGCCATCACTGAGAAAATGATGAAGATTGCACGAAACTGAAAATACTGAGGCTGTTATAAATCACAGTCTGTGGCTTACACACACGCATTGTGGCTGATGGTGCTGTAATTTTTCATGACAGCTACGACTCAGAAAGTTGTAGCTGATAGGCAATATGGGAAGAAAATTACAGCCTATGACTGTTACATGTCTGCTGTTAGAATAATGCCAAATACTATTTATATGTCTCTTTCATGGGTGGTGGGACCTAAGGAAGTGGAGGAGTTCAAAATGCTGGGCTTCATGCTCGTGCTATGCACAGCCTGTGACACCTTGCAAGGTAAGCCTTTACTTCAGCATTCGATGAAATGTTGGAAGCAAGCAAATAAAGAATGTCTCTCAATCTTGAAAAGGATCTTGAATTAGTGATGAAGTGTCTTTATGATTATTTTGTCTTATTGTAGGGGTTTTTTTGGTTATACTGCAATAGCTGTCTGTAAAACTCATGTACTGTTGGTCTTAGTTCTGCAGTGGTGGATTTATTTTGCAATATAAGGCACACTTTGGAATATGTTATTGACCAGAACAGTTCTCTCAGGAGCATGGAGAGAAAATGGACAAACACTAGCAGCCATTGTAAAATTTTTACCTGATATGCCTCTATTTCTTTTGCCTTTTGTCAAACCCATTCACAAATATTAAAAAAAGCATTTTTGCAGCCTATAATGAGGCCTATAACCATATCTCATGGGAATGTTTCCCTGACAATTGTTGTAGTTAGTAGTATCTTGTTCTGTAATTATGGCAAATTTTCCTTACTATAATGCTCTTAAATCTGCTATTCAGAGTGAAAGTCCTTAACCCCTCCTTTGACTTGCCTTCAAGTTCCTTTTAGCATGAACAAGTGAAAAATATAATTCACAAATGACATTTGTCCACAAAATTACAGTGCAGTGGGTTGATTAAGTGAGGATGGCTCTGAGCTAGATTCAGCCACTCGCAGAGTGTTGATTCCTATTTTGTTTAGTTAATGTGTGAGGTATGAAACAAAGCCCTGCCTTTAACTACACTGATGCCTGCTCAGAGGTCCAATTAGCAGCTGTAATGTTGGCAGGCTCTTTAAGTGCAAGTGAACTGGTAGCATGAGTAGTTTTTTTATCTGGCTGAAATTGCAGGAACCTCCCAGGGTGACTATTTTGGAATTATCTCATGCTTACCTGTTCAAGAAACGTAGTAGAGAATCAAAAATTAACCTTTACTAATTCAGATCTGCTTTACATTTTCTTTTATGGAGAGGGACTACCTTGGAGTATTTCCAAATAGATGGATTCACTTTGTGTGTCTTTCTATTAGGAATGAGTTAAAGCATTCTGAATTTTTTTGGACCGAATACTGTATGAAGTTAAAAGAAACAGAAGAGAAGATTATAAAGGATGAAAAACACCTTGAGGAGTTAGTGAAGCAAAAAGCAGAAATCCAGGAAGATGCAAAATGTTGGAACAGCAAATTGACTCTTGAATATTTATAAACAAGCAAGTAAATGAGTATCTTTTATTGAAAAGTACATGAATGCCTAAATATTTGTATGTTTAAGAGTTAAGATCCTCTGTAAGAGTAAAAATATCAATTCAGATTATAAAATTAGAAGTGGTAGATTCCATAGAGCTCTCTTATTTATTATTTTGTTTTAATATTATTTTTCTACTTTAATGATTAAAAATATCGTTACCATCAGTTCTATAAGTGACCTGGATATTTTTTGAGTTTGGGCACATGTCTGCCTAATATTTCTTATCTTCTTAAACCATCTGGGATAACATGTGCAGGTAGTGGGACAGCACAAATGTCCTCTAAATTTAGCAGACTTTTTAATCTGAGATGGCATATAATACACTTTTATATCATGCATAATGATACCCTACTTTACTTACATTTTCCCTGTTTTCTGCTATATTTGCCTATAATTAATTTTGGAATCTTGTACTTTGTAATCTGAAATCTGAAGTGGAGCTCCTTACAGAGCCAGACTGTGAGTTTTCAGTTAAGTGACAGCTCCTGTTGAACCAGTAGAAAATGCCTAGAAAATGTAGATTCCCACAAAAGAATCTGTTATTTTTTACATGTATGTATATATATATATATATATACGTACATATATGTACAAGTGTAAATAAATATGCAAGTTATTCTCTTGTACACGCTCAGTACCATTGTGAATTGTCCATCTTGATAAATAGGTCCTGCTAAGGATCAAGTGGAATCCAGAATATACAATATGGAGCATTTCTGAGAAGCTAAATCTACCAAGCATGCCCATAATTTAACAGAAAAAATCCCTAAAGCACCCCCACCCCCTGCAAAAGCAAAGATACAGTCATATTACAACCACAATGAGTGTGGGCCTTTTTTATTTTAGCTGTGTATTACAGGTTTTTCTTCTATTAGTGGTGCCAGAAATTGCTACCAACAGATATTGAGAACACAACTATATTCAAATAGAGCCAATACTTATTAACAAGCCTTATTTTACCCTTTTGTTTTTCTTTCTGCATATATTTCCATCTGAGATTGATGACCAGATAAACTTCAGCAGGTACCACCTGGTTATTAAGACCAAAACAAAACAAACGCAGACATGCACAACAGGGATAAGGTGGAGCATGGAACTGCTCCATTAGGTGACCACCTAAAGCTGAGACAAATTAAGTTTAGCAAAAAGCTGATTTGTTATTGCCAATTTCCTTCAAAAACATGGCTAAATCAACAAGCTGAATGCATATTTATAAATAACACTGGATATTCATAAAGTGCAAAGTTATTCTTCTGATCATCATAGAAATATTTCTGAGGTAATTTAGTAATTTTGGGAAATAGGAAAATATTGGGATTGTTTTCAGTGTTTTCAGTGGGGTTTGAATCAGACTCAAAGTAGAAAATGACAAATGTCACATACACCAATAATTTTGAAGACAGAATAAGTGGTGTGAAGTAATGTTTTATGGCACTGTTTTTCTTAGCTCTTTTTTTCTTGTGTTAATTCATGCTGATTTTAAATGTTATATGTGATCTGTTAGGAGTGTTACAACTTTTGACACTGTAAGGACAACTCTGAGTTTTCTTTTTATCATGCTACTCAGATTTACATTACAAAAGGTATCTGCATGGATTAAACCTATCTTCTGTATCTACATGGGCTTTGTTTCTCAAAGATTAGAAGAAACCCTTCTTATAAAATTGCTCTCATACTTAACTATTATTCTTTTATTCTTTTGTCTTCATTAATTACCTGCACTGTGTGACATTATTTCAAGTAATTCCTGTCAAAATGTTTGTTCTAAAAGCATTGAAAGAGTGAAAAACATTTCTGAATAATGTTTTTCCTATACACTAGCAATTTAAAAACTGGGGCATTTTGCTCATACTTAATCAGTTGGGTTTTTGGGTTTTTTTTTTCCCTGTAGATATAGCCAAGTTTTTGTCTTTCTCACACTTCCTATATTTTGAACCACGGAATAGTTTGGATTGGAGGGGACTTTAAAGATCATCTAGTTCCAGCCCCTTGCTGAGGACAGGGACACCTCCCACTAGTCCAGGTTCCTCAAAGCTCCATCCAACCTGGCCTTGAACATTTTCAAGGTTGGTTTATTATATTCTCAGAGTATTTTACATATTGGGAGGCTTAAAAATTTGGGGTTTTACCTCCTCTTTCTAGTTTAGTAAAGGTACTTCATTGCAGTTTTTCCTTAGATCATGCTGTAAAATCCATAATCATTCAGGTTAGGACTTTCAGTTCCCAGATATTTAGGAAGGTACAGCAATCCACAGACAATTGCCAGAACCCTAGAAAAGTACAACAGAGCTGTGACATTCTGGTCAAGACAAGTCCCTCCTTAGCTGCTGGGACAGTCATAAAGGCTCTTATGTAAATCTGTTCTTCATCACATGCTTGAGATGCCAGTGGGAAACTACATGCCATTCAAAGTACCTGCATCCTGAACCTGATTTTCTCACATATATTATTCTCCAAGACTTTTATTATCAACCTTGATACTGCTAGACCAAACATGTTTGTTGTCTGGTCATGTTCCATTTGGACTCTCATCTCTGTGTGGATTGTATAGGCAAGTTCTGCCAGGATCTGATGTTTCAACTTTTGCAGAGGAAGGAGAGGGAAGGAAACAAAGTTTATTAGGCTCATTCATGTGAACAGTTCTGCTTTTCTCCATCTAAAGCCACTTTAAATGATTTCCTTATCCTCTAGATGGTTGCTTCCCTAACATCCTCATTTTCCTTAAGCTCTAGTGATCGATCCATCATTGATTTGAGCAGAGAAGTTATGGATTCTCCATCCCTGGGAGTGTTCAAGGCCGGGCTGGATGGGGCCCTGAGCAACCTGATCTAGTGGAAGGTGTCCCCTTCTGTGGCACAGGGGGCTGGAACCAGATGAACTTTAAGGTCCCTCCCAGCCCAAACCATTCTGTAATTTTATGAATCTTTGCATGATTCAAATGAATTAAGAGAGATATTGAGTTATTAAGGAAAATCTGAAGGCTGAGAAAAACTTGAGGTATTCTGCTTAGTTATACCACATATATCATGTAGGAATTAGCAGGCTGTGAGTGTGCCCTCACTGAGACTCTGAAGCCTAAATATTCTGCTAGGTTACACTGCAAGGACAGTGCACAAATGCACACTATAGCATAAAACATCCCCAAATGCTCTTTAATACTCTTCCTTTTAAAGTGACTTTTAAAAAATATTGTTTAATTATCACAAAGAAACATGAAAAATTTGCATTGCTTACTTTATAAAATATTTTTATATAGAATATTTGAATAACAAAATAGCAGCTCAAGGAGATGAGAGCATACAATTATCAGATTCTGCTTTTTAAATGATAAAAGCTGTGCAAGAATCAGTACCCTTTATTTTTTATTTTTTCACAACATAAATAAGTTTAAAATACTTGTATACTTGTGTGTTCTGCGTTGGCCTGAAATAATTTCAGCTTATGTCAAGGTGTCCTAATGGTCTGATGTTCATTAGAAATCCATCAAGGAAAGCAATCTACTCGCCATAAATCAAAGGATTCTAAGTATTAATGAAGCATTGGAGAGTTTGAAATGTAAAAATTAAGAACATGAGGGGAAAAAAAAAGAGAATTTGTGCAAAAAATAAGAAATAGATAATGACAGCAATATGAATATAGGACAAAAAAATTATTTTTCCACTTAAAACATGCGTACAAAATGAACATTACTTTTAATGTCTGTCTGTACAAACACATTTCAAAAATTTCAAATTGTTTCAGGCTGTAATTTAGCAGCTAACTTTTTTTTTACGTGAAAGAAAAACAGCTAAAATTATTCAAAAAGAAAATACATACTTTGAAACTGAGGAAGATTCTGAAATTATTTTTTGTTAACAGAAATCTCAGTCCCCAAAACATTTTGGTAAAAGGTTTCATGATTTTTTTTTTTCATTTATGATGGTTATAAACATAGAATCTGAAATAATATTTTTCTTTATTTTCTATGAATTCTTTTAAGATATGCACATATATTTTGTAGCTTTTCAGTTTATTGATTCCAAATATCTATACTTTAAACAATACTGTACATAATATTTTCAGTGCAGGAAAAAAAAATCACATTTTTTTAGTTCCCTCTTCCTTTGAACTCTGCTTGTATGCTGGTTTTATTTATCTGACAGATTATCATCTTTATCTCTCCAGAAATTTTGGATTTTATTGTCTGATTTCAACAAAGTCATCTTAAAAAAAAATTCTTGAAAATAATTAGATTCTTACAAGTTTTGTATAAATTGATGACTGAGTTGAATAAATACATCCTGTCAGCATGAAAACATTCCTTACTAGATCCCAAAAATGCCATACAAAAGGTATGGGAAAAGGGAGGGGATAAAAAGATGAAAGAAAGGAGGAGTTATATCCAGAGTCCTTATTAATGGTCCAAGTCTGAGCTCATACCTTAACACACCAATGTAAATCAATGATGGGACACAAATGGATAATAAACCAGGCTTCATTAGTTCTGATGTTGATGGAACTACTTATTGGGATTATTAGAACATTTTAAAATTAGTGACAGCTTTCCAAATTTATTATTTTCAATTTCATTGATATTTTTCTTGATCAACAGAATTTTTATTTCATCGTACCTGTAATGATGGAGAGAGCTCTTACCTCTCTTGAAAGTATTAACTGAGAAGCTGAAAGAGGAAACTCAGGTTTGTAAGAATTTGTAGAGACAAATAGAGAGAATCAGGATTGAGAGGTGAGTTCTCAGAAAGAGGGTTTGAGAAGCATTGACACGATGTTGTACACTAAAACTTTACAGAGATCGTAAAAAGACTGGGGACATTCACAAGAGAACTCCTTAGAGTATTGTTATTTCATATATAATTAGTATTGCTGTGAGCATGTCCTGGTCATTGTCCTTCCACATGTTTGGGAATTCAAGAAGTGCATGTGAAAGTTCAGATTCAAGTCCCAGAGAAAGACAAATTAAGAAAAGTTCCCAGTAATGAGGGACTCCAGAGCTCTATTTATATCTTCAAAGGATGATCTGAAACCATTCTTTGAGAAGGAAATATCTTTTCAGGCTGCCATTTAGTATAGTCACAGGAAATAATGAGTATAGGCTAAATGTAGTGTTCAATTCCGAAGAAATGCATTCTACATCTTGCTTTAGTGTAAAAACAGGATTCTTCTGGTACAATCCCAGATTTCTGTTTACTGCTTTCCTATGACATTTTGAGTTTACTCTTAAATAGGCTTTCTGGAACACTTTTTTATTGAACCGTAACATTTTCTCAATTCTACTTTCAAAACCATCAATCTAGCATCTAATATACTAGATCTTTAGGAAGAAAGTAATAGCTAATCTCTCCTAAAAATTAGAAGTTGTGTCCATTCTTCCTATGTGTTACTGAGTGCAAGGACAAATAAAAGAGTTGTTTGTAGGTCTTTTTATTTGAAAGTCTCATTTTATCTTTTCTGCAGTTATTAGTTGAATAAGAAATTTGTTTTAAACAAGGATTGTAAAGAGATATAGTTGGAAAGTTGCCATTAAGTGCTATGAGAGAGTCAGGATATTTGGTTCTGCTCAGAAACCTTTACATTCTCTGGTCTGCCTTTCCTTCATATTATGTTAGATATCTTGAATGAAAGAAGCTGAGGAAAAGCAGTGCATTTAACCTGATATTAACTCAATTCCCATAAAGACTGAATATATCTTGCAGATGCTACTCGATCAGGAAATCTCAGGTCCTCATGTGATGTACAGCTGCTAAATGCATTAAGTCTTCACAAAATAGTCTCATTAATTTATTATTACTATAAACTATTTAATTAATTTCAAAAATTAAACCCTTCGTATGCTTCTCAAATGGGGTAAAGTTCCTGAATAAGCTGCAGAAGCTGTGATAAAAGTTTCAATGCCTGTACACGTGTTCCATGGGTAATGGAACACATTGCACCAAAGAACTTCTTTCAGCTGCAGTCCACTTGCTTTTCTGCCTGGAATATTTATGTTTTTCTTGCATCTACGCCTAAAATGCTTTGACTTCCAGAGTCATGGGTAGCTGTGTATGCATCAAAACAATTTTGCTCCACATGAAAGGTATAGGAAGTCAGAATGGAATAATTATTGTTTGGTTCCTTTAATTACTTTCCAGCTTCAGCACACATCTGCTTACTCTGCACTGTTGAGATGAATTACTGTCTTGACTTTACTGTTTTGAAATTTAAATCTTTTTATAACCATAGACATTTTGGAAGGAATCTGTGAAGCCATTTAGTCTTTGCCTTCACCAAAAGAATATTGACTGTTTATACACATTTTAAGAAATAAACAGAAGACCTTTCTAACGTTTTCCATGTTTACTCTTTCAAAACGTCCCTAGGTAAAGGGAGTAGTTAATTGCCCAGTGAACTTTTGACAGAATTTTAGGATATGTGCTATGTTCTTCAGGTAATTTTTTTCTGGTAGAAAACTCTTTTTCCTGTGTAGTCCTTATTATGACCTGCCTCTGAGTCAGGGTAAATGAGGTTCTTGTTAATAGATGCTTTGGGATGGATTTAAGTGAAATAAATGGAATGACCACAGACTACAGGGAAGCACCAGTGGTGTAGTGGTATCATGCAAGGTTCCCATTCTTGTGACCTGGGTTCGATTCCCAGCTGGTGCATGAAAAATTCTCAGCTCCCAACCTGTGCAGTGCCTGTACTGCAGGTTAGGTGTAATCCGTCTATATACACATAGAGCAAATATATTTTGCTCTCTTCCTTTTTGCTTTTTATTGCTTGAATTTTGGGCAGGGCAACTAAATTGCTGTGGGCTTTTTCTGTGTAATCCAATGGTGTAACTGAGTGGTATTTTAAGTTTGCTTCTGTTAAAGAGTCCACTTCTACTGAAAGTTCACTTTCATGCAAATAAATTGTTTTACATGGCCTAAGAATTCTGGAAATAGTGACTTGTAATTTGAACTCATCAGCCATATAACTAACTACACTGCACTGGTATGAAATATCCTATAGATGGCCATTTATCATAAAAGATGTACTGAGACTCTTTGACCAATTTAACACTTTCAGATAAAAGGGCTGTCCTTGACACTTTCTTCTCACCCAAAATTGATAGGTTTATATTATATGTGGGAAGAAGGGCCAAAAAAAAGCTGTTTAGTATTCAAATATCATCTCCTTCAAACACAAGAGCCGTCCATTCCAATGAGTAGGAAGTCAGGCAAAAATGCCAGGAGGCTTGCATGGGTGAGCAAGGAGCTCCAGGCAAAACTCAGATGCAAAAAGGAAGAATATAGAAGGTGGAATATAGAAAATGGAATCAGGGACAGGTAACCTAGGAGAAATACAGCAACACTGTATGAACATGCAGAGAGGCAGTTGGAAAAGTTGAAACCAAAATGGAATTGAATCAGGCAAGAGATATCAAAGATAACAAGAAGGACTTCTGTAAGTGCAGACATCACAAAAGGAAGATTACAGAAAATGTGAGCCCATTACTGCTTGGGGAAGAGAACTTGATGGCACAGGGAAAGGTTGCAGTACTGAATTCCTTCTTTGCTCCAGCCTGTTCTGCAAGAGCCAGCCTTCAGGAATCCTGGGTCCCAGAGACCAAGGGGAAAGGCTGGAGAAAGGAATGCATTCCCTTTGTAGAAGGGAATCAGATCAGGCAGTAGTTATTCAAACGGGACATTCATAATTCCATAGGCCTTTATGGGATGCACCCAGGAATGCTGAAAAAGATTATGACTGGGAGAAGTGCTTCTGGACTGGAGGAAGGAAAATGTCACCCTTGTGTTCAAGAAAGGCAAGAAGGAGAAATCAGGGATCTACAGGCTAGTCAGACTTGCCTCAATCCAAAGAAAAATGATGGAGCAGTTAATCTTGCAAGAGATTTTCCAGGCATGTTTAAAAGGCAAGAAATCCATCATAAGTAGTGTACATGGATTCTCCAAAGAAATATCATGCTTGACCAGTTATCAAACAGAAGTGGCTGGCCTCGTAGACAGGGGAAGAACAGTGGATATTGTCTGCCTGGATTTACACTGTGTCCCATTAAGATCCTCATAGACAAGCTATTGATCCAAGGGCTAGATGAGCAGACAGTGAATTGAAAATTAGCTGAATGGCCAAGCCCAGAGGGTGGTGCTCAGTGGCACAAGGCCAATTTGGAGGCCAGTGTTGTGTGCTGAAATATTTACACAAGTGAATGTCACATTGTACAATCAGGGGAATCTTATGGTTTAAGTATTTAAGGATTGTTAGTTATTAGTCTTAGAAATTAGGATATTAGAGGTGATTCAGATAAAGCCCCTGCTTATTTGCTCTCTTACACCCTTTTATTAAAATATATTTATCAAATAACACTTAGGAGTTCAGGTAGACTGTATCACCCATATATCCTTTCTCACATTCTAATTGAATCTTTCAGAAAACTGATGAATTTTGAGGCAGTGCTGCCTGGTCATGCTGATTTCTCTCCTGTGCATCAAGTTTTCCATTCGGAAGCAAATTCTTTTTTTATGGTAGTTCAATGATTAATGAGTTATTTAATAATATGAGATTACTTCCTAGGACTTTA